AACCACTTTTCATTTTTCAGACATATTAATACACTGCTACCACATTCATATAAGAGAATGGAGCAAATTAATTGGTGAAATTTCATGACTTTTAGTCAAAAGTATAAAACTTTTATGTTAGTCATCATCATATCATCACTATAGTGCATTAGGACTTAAACCCAATGTCTTACTCATGTAAAGACATCTTTGGTCATAAATCAATGAGACTTGAACCCAACTTCTTATTATCATGGTGCACCAAGATTTTAACTCGATGTCTGACCCACTTGGTGCAGTGAAACCTGAATTCACCATCTTACCCTCAACCAATGCCTTGAATAAAACAAATGCATTAAAAAATATGTATCAAAAGTCATAAATATAATTTGAACTTGACTTCATAAAGAAGAAAAATGAATAAAATAAATTAATTAGAACAACATGTTAGAATCATATAAAATTCCAAAGTTAAAATAAATTCAAACATGTTACTAGTCCCTTTTAATATTGTTATGAAGATTATTATAATTTATTAATCATTTTAGAATAACAACAAAACAATCTTTATTAGTACAAATAATATATAGGATATGAAGTATATTATGCAATCGAAAAATTACTAGAATAATTCATAAAAATCACCTATATCATTGAATCTTGACGGAGAATGAACAACTCGTGTTGATAACGTGTTGTAAAACTTAAGAACAAAAAAAATAATATAAAGAGGAAGATAAGAAGAATATAAACAAGAGGAACAATATAAGATAACTTTCTTTCTTTGAACTTTTCACCAAATCTTCAAGTGTATACAATATGAAGTCTATGCCTCTATTTATAGTGTAACATAGAGGCATACAAAAGGTTAGTCATAAATATGACATTAATATGAATATAATGGGGAGGTTATAAAAGTAAAAGGTTACAAGAAAAATGGTTATAAAGGTGGAGATTATGGTTATGTTCATAGTGGAGGAAAATAATATATATAATAGGTGAGTAACTTCTTGGTGTAGTAGACATCCACAATATATTATTTTATAACAAACTATATTCTTTATGTTTATTTTTTTTAAAATTATTTTGTTATCAATTCTTGTATTTTTGTTAATAATCTTTAGTCAAAACTTTTATTTATTCTTCAATTAAATTAAAATAATTTCCATGTAAATATTGGTTTGAATTATTATTTTAAAAATAATTCAAATAAATTCTAATTAAACTAGTTTTGTTAAAATTCTATTAACTTGTAATCAAATTCAAATATTTTAATTAATGTCCCCGTTTCTTAAAAATTAAAAGTGTTGTCTAACTATTGTTTCAAGTAAATATTCTAAGTTGTTTTATAATCATTTTTCTAAAAAATTGTCAAAATATATTCTTAGTCAAGTCGCAGGATAATCACATGGTAGATGGCGCTTCAAATACATTAAAAACCTTTTTTGAAGCGTAAATAAGAACTTGTTACCATTTTCTCTAAATTTTTAAAGACTTAGTCTGTTAGAGTCTTTTTAAATTAAGTTTTCTTAATTTCTTTTAAAGTTAAGTGGCGACTCTTTCTAAGCATTTTTCTCAAATTGTTTTATACTTAGAACATTTCAAAAAATAATTTTCTAACGACGGTAAAATTACGACATAACATCCTAACTGAGGTCTGTTAAAAACCGTCTGAAGATGCTCTGTACTCAACAAAGAAAAATCAAGTGTAGTATCAGTACATTAAATCACGATGTACTGGTAGGATCACGTGGTTACTACAGTAAGCAAAATATACGCATGTAACTACAACACAGTAAACACACGTACATAATGCGTAATTTAATTATCATTTTATGAGCAATTTTCAATTTCTCAATATCAATTACAAGAAGATATGAATGTAACAATCGCAAATGGTCCTCTCATGGAAACCACCTCCAAATTGTTAGTGTGTGTGGACGTGACACATGATCCAATATATGTGGCTGGAACGTGACACCCGATCTAATATATATGTCAAAACGTGACACTCGCTCCGATATGTATTTGTCGTAACGTGACACCCATATGTATCGAAACGTGACCATTCGGTTAAGTCAACAGGACCACAGTCACAATCACACCCATAATGAATAATGCATATAGTCACACAGTCAAATAACATATTCATATCATGTAATTGTTCATATAATGATTATTTCATTAGATTCTATTCATGTTTCCTTATTCACATACATGCATGCATATATTGGAGCAATTTATGGGCATATATAACACAACCATAATTCAAAACATCACCTTCCTCGAAATCAAGCTCGAATACTCCTAAAACACTTGACCCTTTCCTTTCTGAGGTCTTGCCACTTGTTCTTGGTCTAAATCAATTAATTAATGCAAGGATTAATAAACAAGGGCTAATTTATCCGGATTATAACAAAATATCAACTCAAGGGAAAACCAATGATCCTAATGCTCAAATGGGGCTTCTCCCACCATTAACTTCAAGCCAAAACCCTCCCACAATGATACTTATCAAGGATTCTAAGTTCTAACAATCGAAATATAAATTAAGGGAGTAATTTATTTACCTTTGACGCGAGAATTCGTGGAAATTTGATGAGAAACTTCCCTTGGTCGTCTCTTAGCTCTTAAGAATGAGATTTTGCAGACAATAACATTTTTGAGGATTTTCTCCGGTTTAAGTTACGATTGGCCCACCACAGCGGACCCTATCCCGCCACAGCGGGCTTGCCCTAGCGGAATAAACACCGCCCTGATAGCTTGTACAGAGATAGAAACAAAAAATTGGAGTTTCAAGCTCCAATTTCGCAACACAACTCAAATCTTGACGTTCTAAAACTTCCCTTTCACGCCAAGATCAGTTTCAGGAGTTCTACTCGTTCAAATTTAATTTCATAAAGTCGTACATGCTCTTTAACGTCTTGACTATCCACTCACGTGATCAAACTCATAATTAAATCCCCCATTCATTATAAAATTTTCTTAGACTTCATCCAAGTCTGGCCTAGGTGAGAAGTTTCTAAGTTACTACTCAAAATTTTTTTGGACCAAATTATTTTCCTATTGGCTTTTCCATAATGAAACATGTCGTTACACTTCTACATTTGAAAGGTATTGTGGTACAACCTGGATCTATGATTTAGATGAGGCAAAATGCACTAGTAGATATGTGTTCACCTTAGGTGATGTTGCAATATCCTGAAAATCAGCTAAACAGACAATCATTGCTAGATCGATTATGGAGCTCGAGTTTGTAGCTCTGGAGCTAGCTGGTTTTGAGGTTGAATATTTAAAAGATTTTCTTACAAATATCTCTTTAATAAAATGATGAATTGCCTTTTGTATACATTGTGATTGTGAAGCCCCAATTTCTATTGTGAAGAATAAAATTGTAAGAGCAGACACATTACATTGATGCATGATGTCGTTAAGTAGTTGTTGAGACATAAAATAATTGCAATTGATCATGTGAAGTCAAAATTGAATTAAATTGATTCACGAACTAAATCCGTAGGAAGAAAATTAATTCTTCAAACCCTAATAGAGTGTCTATAAAGATGGCAACTCAACCTATGTGATTGAAGATCACATGAAGTAGGTTCAGATGGCAATAACAAGTCAATATTGACACTGCACACAACTGAGAGTGCTTGAATTTGTACTAAAATGAGGGATGAGTAATTTACTCTTAATGAATTCATAGTCCGTGATTAAGAATGATGTATTTAAATCATTATACAGTCGATCAGTTCACATATATGAGAAGTGAAGTGTGGCGCTCCTATGAGACTTTGACCTAGTCTCTAGAGCTCTCGTGAATATCAGGCACACACATTGCTTATTGGCGCAAAACCACATTGAACAATGAAATTAGTGAGATCAAACGACGATTGATAAAGTCTTTGATTTACAATAAAAATTATTGATTCATAAAAATATTATATTTCACCAGTAATTTTGTTAATTAACTTTAGCAATCTAAATTTGATTTATAATCCGAACGACACCAAATTTATTGCATTGTCCATGAAAACCCAACAAGTTTGTAATACTCTTTTTGCTATAAATTCTTTTAAAATATGTGGGGAATTGTAAGTGAATATTTTTTTTCAAATGAATTTATTTTTACGGCACAATTGAAAACAAATGGCTTCTTGGATAAAGCATTATTATCCAAGTGCCCGTCAACATGTCTTTTTTTCTGTAAATAACTTTCAGTTCCTTCTTTCAAGTAAGATTAAATCCCGACAAATTTTCTCCACTTACTCTTGCAATATCTCTTTTATCTTTCTGTTTTAAGTTAATTAATTATTTTGACATTAATTTATTATTTTATTTTTACTAATAACTTGTTGATGTTAATTAATTTGATGATTCATGTATTCTTTATTTAAATTTGGAAGATTTGTTTAGTTTTGAGAAAACATTTCATATCGTTGAGATAGTTTCTTAAGACAATGCCTAACAAGACTCAAAGTATTAATCTTCTGCACTAATATTTATATATCATCATGGTAATATTATCTACTTTCTAATATTATTATTTTACTAAATAATACTCCCTCATTTTTACAAAGAATAATCTGGTTTGACTTGGCGTAAAGTTTAAGAAAATAAAGAAGACTTTTGAATCTTGTGGTCCTAAATTAAAGTTATGTGAAATATACAAAACTGTACTTTAATCTTGTGGCATTAAATATATCACTTGGGAAATTAAAATTAAAATGTTACAAAAAAAGAAAGAAAGAGGTCATTCTTTTTTAAACGAACTAAAAAAGAAAAGAAGTCATTCTTTTTTAACGAAGAAAGTAAAGTAAGTTATATTATTAATGTGTTATTTGCATCGTTCCCCGGACGAATGATTACCACAAAATTTCATTTTCTATTTTAAAAAAATGTTATAGTCGAAGAAGTTAATTATGTATTATTATACTACTCTATCTCTCTCATTTTAATCCTTGAATTGCACCCACAAGATTTTTCCACCAAACACAACTTCTAATTAAAAATAATTGCACTTGTGAACTTACATTTTGTATTAATATATAATATGGTGTCTACCTTGCTTATAACCAAATATTAATCCATTAGTTTAATCAATATTTTCTAATTAAACTATAAGCAACTATTTGGTTTTTGAAAACCAAAAGCTCTTCCTCCAGCATTAGCACAAGAAGCTTCAGCTGGTTGATTTTTATAGCTAAGATTTACATCTTCAAGTGATATCCCACTACATGGATATTTTTTGCTACAATCAAATTTCACAGCAACTTCCGTCGCTGATGTTCCACGTATGTCTCGATACTTTATGTCACTGATCTTTACACCCGAGCCCTAAATATAATTTTACGAAAACAAAAAACAATATACATAAGAAATAGTCTGCAAATGTAAAAATAAACAATTAATAATTAATTACTTACTTGGTGAGGACAATTTTCATTGTTAGGGCAATAATTTTGATCAATAATAATAGGGTTTTGAACATTCATCATAACAATATGTTGGAAAAGAATATTTTTGACAAATCCATAGCTTGATCTTGCCCATGTTTTTACTCTCAATCCATTTTGTGTTCCTTTAAACGTTACGGTTTTAACCGTAACATTTTGTACTCCAGGTTCTTGTAATTCCCAGCCTAAACTCCCAATGCTGTGGATTAGGTAAAGGAATCAAAACAAGTACTGAACATCGTTCATATAAATTGAGACAGAAAGAGTTATGATTGAAACCTTATTCCATGACCGGGTCCACATTCTATGTTTTCAATCCATAAATTAGAGGTGCCAGGGCCAATTGAGATGCAATCATCTCCAGTACCAATACGTGAGTTCATTATTGTAACTCTAGATGAATATTGGACGTGAATACCATCAGTGTTTGGACTGTTTCCTGGCGCGGAGATCTTTACTCCCTGTAGCTTCACATTTTCACAATTATCTACCAAAATGTGGAACATTTGGCTGTTTTGTGATGTTAATCCAATGATATTTATGTTGCTTGAGTTCGAAAATGTAACTCCCTGAGAAATAACAAATGCATATAGATTGTTAGAAATACTCTGTCTGTTTCAAAAAGATTGTCCTATTTTGACTTGACACAGAGTTTAAGAAAGAAACATGAAGAAAACTTTTAAATATTGTGGTTTTAAATTAAAGCTATGTCAAATGTACAAAATTGTTCTTTAATCTTGTAGCCTTAAACGTGTCATGTGGAAAACTGAAATTAAAATGTTACCAAAAAAAAGAAAGAAGTCATTCTTTCTGAAACATACTAAAAAGGAAAGTAAGTCGTTCATTTTGAACAGTGGGAGTATTATTTTTTCACAAATAATATAAACTACTTTTTTTTTATCATATACTTCCTCCGACTCATTTTATATGAATTAATTTTGACTTGACACAAAATTTAAGAAAGAAATAAAGACTTTTGAAACTTTTGATCTAAAACGAGTAATACTTAGATACTTGTGTGACTATAAATCTTTTAACTATTAACAATAAAATGAGTATTTTAAAATTTAAAGTTAATAAATTGTTACTTAACATAGAAATGTAATGTTATTCTTTTTGAGATAGACTAAAATAGGGAGTAAGTTATAATAAATGGGAGAGAGGGTGTATACCATTGTTCCTTGAGGACAATTGTTGCTAGACGTTTTGCAAGCCCAAAGACTAGTAGCTTGTCCATCTAAGGTTCCTCCATAGATGGAAATTCCATTAACTCGTTCAAATTTGATCCAATTTTCTTCGTTTCTATTGACATTATAATCCGATGGAGCTAGAATAGTGCCATCGATACGTAAGGTAATAGACTTACTCTTGCATTTTTGGCCTTGAAAATATGCATTTTTAAGCAAGTAACTTCCTTGTGGTATGTAAATGGTGGATGGGCTAGTTGATGCACATGCTGCATCCCATGCACTCATAAAGGCTGTCGATGAATCGATTTTGCCATTCGATTTTGCTCCATAGTTTTTGATGTTATATATAGCAATGGAAGAGTTGAAGAGCAAGAAGAAGATTGTGAAAAAGAGTGGGAGATTTTTGACTAAGAAACTCATTTTTTTTAGCTTGTTTGTGTTATTTATTCAATAAGTCACAAGGTTGATCAAATGTTAATTGGAGGGTGGATGTGGAATTGAAGATGAATTTGGAAGGAATTTATAGACTTTAATTTGTGTTAGTCATCAATCTTAACGTCTTGCCAAACCCTCCATTAAAAAAAAAAACTCTCAGTGTTTCATTTATTTGACATCCTTTGACTTGATACAATATAATAATTTTTTTTAAAAAAAATTTGTGATTAAAACAATTTTTAGATATTCGGGTGACTGATTAGAATCATTTCGTTAAAAAAGATATATATTTTTAATTATAATAAAAAAATATTTTTTTTAAAACTAATTAAAAAGAAAATAATGCCATGTAAAACGGTACGAGATAGTAGGAGAGAAAACTATGTTGATCCTTTAAGACGTTGACGTGAGTTAGGTTTTGGGCAACTATAATTCATATTTGGTCTTTTTGAGGAAGACTTTTTAGTCTAAAAATGTAACATTATTAAGTCGATAGCAAATTCGATTTCTACGTGTTTAACGGAAAAGTTAGTTACATGAAGACTTTCTGGCACATAGAATATCTATCATTAATTAGTTATTAATTATTGGCAATTTGGCATAATACGTATATATAATATAATTTAATTAGGCTTTGTAATTTTTAGTGTGAATAGTAGATAATTAAATTTGTATAAAATTAAATAAGTAAACACACACATCTTATATGACATAATATGCTATAGTATAATACGCTATTTCGAGTGTATCTCATCACATGAATTACCATGTAGAACAGGTGCGCTTACTTGTTATAACTCTGTACTCAATTTAAGAATTTTATTATATTTTTCTTTCTGCCTTAGTGTTAAATACCATATGAAGTAATATAATAAATGGGCTATGCCCAATTTTGAATTTTAAAAAACACTATATGAACTAATATTAGTCAAATTTAGAGTTATAAAACCATATATATTAATAAGGTTAGTTTGGTAAAGGACGTTTTAAATAAATATGAATCGCGTAATATGAAGCGAAGGGAGTATATGGCTATATATGAATTTTTTAAAATTTATGATACTAAATATATCATAATATTTGTCTGGTTATAATTAAAACCTTTCTATTAAAGGCAATATTGAAAGTGTAATGTTCATTCAATAAAATGATGTTATTCTTGTAGGAGTGAAGTAAAGAAGAAAATGTGTGCAATAAATTGAAACACACTAAAAAAGTATATATTTATCAATTAACTATAAAGAAGTTCAACAAAAGTTCAACTACATGAAATTTAACAATATTACATGTGGATATCTTTTTCAACAAGTATTTCTTGAAATCACACTCACATTTTCAATGATAAGAAGTCGTTTATCCACTTCCTGCATTAGGTATTAGAAGTTGGTATTATTATTTATCTGATTTGGATTGATTTTTGGCTTTTGATGATTGACTTGTAAGACAAAAGTAATAAACTAAAATTCTTAACTTATTATTTTTTTTTACTTATTTTTATTATTTTCACTTAAATTAGTGTTTAAATATGTATTTTAAGTATATACAACTTAAAAACACATTAAATAAATCAATTCAAACATACTCGAAATACTTTAATTTTTAATTAAACCTCATTAAAATTTCCTCCTAGTTCGATAGGAACAATATGATGATATGAATATTTATTTTTTTAAGAAAAGAAACCTAATAATCTTTTGTTGTTGTCCTCTTTCAGAAAGTAGTTAAACTTACTTCCGGACTGGTAATGTGTCAATATCATAATCTAATTTTCCATAATGAAGTCATTGCTATAGAATATAATATATATTCTTCTTAAAGGAGAATTGGAAATAAATGAAGAGAAAGGGAAACAATTTTTATTGGGTCCTTTTTAAGTGCGGGTATATATTAAATAGACATAATTACATAAAAATTAATATTTTTTAATTTGGTTTTATTTCACATTAATGTCCTCTAACTAAGAGTGTACAAAATCGAACTAAACTGTAAATCGAGTTAAATAAAAAAAAATTCGACTAGTGGTTGGTTTGATGTTGAAAAAAAACTCCGACTATATTTAGGTTGATTTGATTTTAACTAAAAAAATCAATCCGAGACCAAACCAGTCCGACATTATATATATAATTTTAAAATTTTATTTTATATATAAACTATTTACTTTGATATGATTTTTAAATATTTCTATACTTTTTCATAGTTGTTATCTTTTAGTATATTATTTAAAGTTTAAAATTTAGAATTTTGAATGGTTCCATAAAGATTATAGTCCAGAGATGTTGGTAGTTATACTAAAACTTAAACGAAAATCAAATTAGTACTAATGCAAAAAGAAAATCAATTTAATACTAAAAATGATATAATATTAAATATTTGTTCTTTTTGGTTTTACATTGGTTTAGACAATTTAAATACATAATCTAATTTTAATTTCCTTTAATTTTTAGTCATATAACTAATACTTATTAAACTTATATTAGCATGATTTAATACTTTTAAATTATGATCATTTTCGTTATGACTTGTTAATTTGCAATATTTGTTTTACGCGATTTCATTATTATTATTATTATTATTTTTTTTTTGAATAATTTAGTGCCATTAATAGTATAATTTGTTTGTGTTATTTTCTTTAAAAAAATCCTTAGATAGTTGTATATTGGTAGAACTGAAGAAATATTTGAAGTACAAGTAAATTATATGTTTTTATGAGTACTTTATCGAAAAAATCCAAAAAAATTCGATAACCCGAAAAACTTGAAAAACCCGAGGTTAAAAAATCCGAGTTTTATTGATTTGGTTTGATTTATAGTTTTGAAAATCCTACACAAATGGTTCGGTTTGATGTTTGAAAAACCCGAATCAACCCGACAATTTATACCCTTATCTCCAACTTTGGGCGTACATAAGTAGACACTTAAAATCATATAAATTGAATAAACACACATGCCCTACGTGAAACATGACAATCTGTGTCCTACGTAGTGTTCTATATGCATTATGCCACATAGAATTTATGTGTCTAGTTATTCAATTTTATATAAGTTTTAGTGCGTACGTACACTATCCATAATTGGATGATATGAATGCGAAATGAGATCAAATAAAATAACATTTTTATATATCATGCCTATTTGTTAACTTACCTCAAATTAATAAAAGTAGTGAAGTGACTACTAAAGAATGTCTACAAAAAGATGGAGGCTTTTATCTTTTATCTTAAAAAAATCAGAAAAAATTGCAAATTTTATTTTTTAATAATGATTGGTATTAGTAGAATTTATTAGAATGTTGAATCTAAATTTGCGATATATACCAATTTCATCAACTTTGAACAAAAAAAGTGTTGCACCTCATTTTAAACTGGTCAAAATGCCTCAATTTATGGCTATGTTTCCTTTGATTTTAGTTCACAATCATTACCTAATTTTAGAAAATGTTAGGAAATATATTTGCTTCGATGATATGTCCCTCTGTTAGTCCAAATTTTGTGAAATTCTAGGTAAGAGTTCTATTTATTATGAGAGGTAGATGTTAGACATTTTTTAAAATTTATCGCGAGATATCATAAATATAATTAGATATACAATATCAACCAATAATCAATTAATTTTGTCTAGTCGTATAGGCGAAGTCTGAAAGGATAGAGTATATCAAAGCTACTATCCTCAGGCCGAGTAACGGACAGAAAAATACAAAAATAAAGAGGACAGAAAATAATAGAAAAAGCATAACACATTATCCAAACAGGACCAATAAGAACAAGCAACTTATGATAACCGAAGAACTAAGAGAAAAATGCCACTACTACTAGTATAAACATTGAAATATGTACAATGCATTAATTTGTCACCAAGCCTAACTTTTTACCTTAACATGCAAATTAAATTCCAACAAGAAAGTGTTGATTCATGGAAATTTTCCTACGGGTATTATAGTAAAATCAACATGAATTTTACTATAAAATGAAAATCGATGGAAAGACATCCTAATAAACTCTTACATGTGGATTTATATGGTCCATAGGGTAATTTATTTGGGAAATTACAATTTGCCCACATCGCAAGTAACTATCAAAATCTTTGTGGTTTTTTTTTTTTTTAAAAATAAAATTTCATATTCAAACAAATTTTCTTGCGGATTTTTATAAAAATATTTTTCTTGCAAATTCTCATTAAGATCCCCTAGTAAACTAGTAGGAGTCTGGAGATGATTTTTTTTTTGAAGCAATATAACGACTCGATCAGTCGTTACTAAAGGGCATATCATGCGGAATCCTAAAAGTCTAAAAGCAAAGTGCAAGGATTTTCAAAATTTGAGCGTTCTCGCAATATTTGGTTGGGTAAATATCAAATAAAACCTTCTTTTTTCTTCTAACCCTACTCATGGAGGTTTTTTCTACTCCGACAAGGATAAGAAAAAATATACGTTACTTTCTTTATAGAAGAAAGTTGCGTTTTTTCTCTCCTAAAATTAAGATTTTGAGATCTAGTAAAATATAGGAATCACATTTTTTTTCCTAGAATTAAAATTTTGAGTTTTAGTTCAATATAGGCATTGTAGGAACCACAAAATTTAGTACTGATGCTTCCTATTATAGAAATAACTTCAAAAATTAATTTTGAAATTATTCTTACCATGATAAATTACAAATCATTCGACTAGAATTTCATAATTGCACTCTTATATTTATATTTCAAAATTTCTCATTAAATATGTATGTAGTTCCCCATGTTCATAACATTACAGATATTAATCAATAAATTAAATTATTGACGAATTTAAAACAATTGATTAATTTTCTTTGGAGCACTGTTGTTGGATTAAAAAATATACTTGCAAGATTTGACACGATGAAAACTTATGATATATGTATCTCATGAATGCAAATCTATAGTACATGAACTGTAATCTCATGACACGATAATATGAATGAAGTTTATGAACTATGGTCCTTTGAATATTATGAATATGAGTCTAAAGTATTATCTATGATCACATGAGCTTAAAAGAGCTAAATAATTAACCGAGAAGGCATAAGTCTAAATGGCAAACGCCTG